TTCTCGCACTCTGTTTCAGTCCCTCTGTTTCAGCCACTCTGTTTCCGCCCCTCTGTTTCAGTTCCTCTGTTTCTCGCACTCTGTTTCAGCCCCTGTGTGTCAGCCACTCTGTTTCTCGCACTCTGTTTCAGCACTTCTGTTCCTCCTACTCTGCTTCAGCCCCTCTGTTTCTCCCAATCTGTTTCAGCCCCTCTGTTTCAGCCCCTCTGATTCTCGCACTCTGTTTCAGCCCCCGTGTTTCTCGCACTCTGTTTCTGCCCCTCTGATTCAGCCCCCGTGTTTCTCGCACTCTGTTTCAGCCCCTCTGTTGCTCACAATCTGTTTCAGTCCCTCTGTTTCAGCCCCTCCGATTCTCGCACTCTGTTTCAGCCCCCGTGTTTCTCGCACTCCGTTTCAGCCCCTCTGTTTCTGAAGTACAAAAGTACAGGAGTATGCTGATAAGCTTTCTATGTCACCCCACATGGCGTCACCTTAGGTACAAGTACCTAGGTAGAAAAACTTAAGAACAAGGTGGAAAGAAACACTGCATAAAGTTAAAACTGAAACAATACAGTCCTTCCTAGAACTAAGTCAAAAAATAAATAAAGTTAAAAGTTCAACAATTGCTGCCTTTCTTAAATGCCTAACCATGCTGGGACTGCACTTCCTACAAGGGCTCAATCTCCTTTGCTATGGCACCTTTTCCCCACGCTGTTCTCATTGTCACTGCAGCTGTTGGAGGAAACCCCATGACTGTGTTGAGCTCGCTCCTGGAATCTCAGACCACCAAAGCCCCTATCCAGGTGCCATCCGCACCTAGCTTTGGCCTCGTCTTCAGTCTGCTCGCTGGGCATCAGGAACTCACTGAGAGTCCCAGGTCAGGCCCCAGCTGTTGCCTCACACTGGACATCTAGTGAACTGCCAAATTTAACAAGCCCTATACTGCCACTCTCCAGAAGCTAAGTTAATAAAAGAAGCTAAAAAAACTAAAAAAAGTTAAAAATTTTTAAAAAAAGAGAAAAGAGGAAAAAAGGGAAGAAGAATAGTGGATGGAATGGACGAGCCTTCCCTGCTGCCATCTTGCACAAGTGTCATCCAACTCGAGTCCGCACCGGGCCCACTCGCCAACAGCCATGATTGAGCTCTCCAACAAGAGGTGAGTAAAATAATATAAAAAAGAAAACAAGATGAGAAAAAAAGAGAAAAGAAACAAAATGAAAAGAGGATGGAACGGACAAGCCTCAGGCTCAGAAGCCCTATTCCACTGACAGTTTACTGAAAATCAGTCACTACAAGGGCAGGTCAGAGGCTGGGAACCCTGCAGTGAGTCACTCAGCTCCTGACTCCCCAAAGCCTGTCCATCATCTACAAGCCACAAGTCAGGAGTGTGAATGAATACTTCCCACTTGCCTAGATGGGTCAATCTCCAACAACATTCAAGAAGCCGGACGAAATAACTCGAGAGAGGCCGGTATCCAGCCGCCAACTCACCCTTTAGTTACACGTGGAGAGTCCTTGACACTGATCCATCTCCCTCACAGCCAGCTCTCAGAGTGAACAGAACCTCCAACACTCCTGTTTATATATGTCAGCCACGGCTCCCTGATTGGACCAGATTAACAGCCCTAATCAGGGATCTCACATTCTAAGAGGTCCACCTGGCTGACTTTATTACAATCACTACACTTGACATCATCCAGCACAAAGCCGCAGGCTTGATTGGCGCCACATTCACAAGAATCCACACCCTCCACCATTGACCCTCAATAGAGCAGTGTGTACTATCTACAAGATGCACTGCAGAAAATCACCAAAGATCCTCAGACAGCACCTTCCAAACCCATGACCAATTCCATCTGGAAGGACAAGGGCGGCAGATATATGGGAATATCACCACAATCAAATTCCCCTCCAAGTCATTCACCATCCTGACTTGGAAATATGTCGCTGTTTCTTCACTCTCACTGGGTCAAAATCCTGGAATTCCCTCCCGAATGACATTGTGTGTTAACCCACAGCAGGTGGACTGAAGCGATTCGAGAAGGCAGCTCACCACCACTTTTTTCAGGGGCAGTTAAGGATGGGAAATAGACATTGGCCCAGTAAGTGATGCACGTATCCCATGAATTCATTTTTTTTAAAACAAAAGCTGCTCTGCAGTTCCCAGGCAGCGACTACATCATGGTAAGACCAGAGTTCAGTCAGGGGAGGGTAAGTCGCCTCAGAACAAGAGCTGGGGAATGTGGATTGGGAGCAGCTGTTTGAGGGTGAATCCATATTTGATATGTGGGAGTCTTTCAAAGCAAGGTTGATTAGAGTGCAGGACAGACATGTCCCTGTGAAAATGAGGGATAGAACCTGTAAGGAACTAGATAATGAAGTCAGTGTGACTAAGGGGAAGAGTAGACAGACAACAGATGATGAACGCAAAGGGACAGGTGGTCTGAGGTGCATTTGTTTTAATGCGAGAAGTGCAGTAGGTAAGGCAGATGAACTTAGGGCTTGGATTAGTACCTGGGAGTATGATGTTGGTTGAGGGAAGGGCAAGATTGGCAACTAAATATCCCAGGATATAGATGCTTTAGGCAGAATAGAGAGGGAGGTAAAAGGGGTGGAGGAGTTGTACTACTGGTCAAAGACGATATCACAGCTGTGCCGAAGGAGGGCACTATGGAGGACTCGAGTAGTGAGGCAATATGGGCAGAGCTCAGAAATAGGAAGGGTGCGGTAACAATGTTGGGGCTGTACTACAGGCCTCCCAACAGCGAGCGTCAGATAGAGGCACAAATATGTAGACAGATTATGGAAAGATGTAGGAGCAACAGGGTGGTGGTGATGGGAGATTTTAATTTTCCCAACATTGACTGGGATTCACTTAGTGTTAGGGGTTTAGATGGAGCAGAATTTGTAAGGAGCATCCAGGAGGGTTTTATAAAGCAGTATGTAAATAGTCCAACGTGGGAAGGGGCCATACTGGACCTGGTGTTGGGGAATGAGCCCAGATAGGTGGTTGAAGTTTCAGTTGGGATTACTTTGGGAATAGTGATCACAATTCCGTAAGTTTTAGAATACTCATGGACAAAGACGAGAGTTGTGCTAAAGGAAGAGTGCTAAATTGGGGAAAGGCCAACTATAGCAAAATTCGGCAGGAGCTGGGGAATGTGGATTTGGAGCAGCTGTTTGAGGGTAAATCCACATTTCATATGTGGGAGGCTTATAAAGAGAGGTTGATTAGAGTGCAGGACAGACATGTTCCTGTGAAAAAGAGGGATAGAATGGGCAAGATTAGGGAACCATGGATGACAGGTGAAATTGTGAGACTAGAAAAGAGGAAAAAGGAAGCATACATAAGGTCTAGGCGACCTGAGTACTGAATGAGTACTTTGCGTTAGTATTCACTGAGGAGAGGGTTATGACAGATGTTGGGGTTAGGGATAGATGTTTGATTACTCTAGGTCAAGTCGGCATAAGCAGGGGGGAACTGTTGGGTATTCTAAAAGGCATTAGGGTGGATGAGTCCTCAGGTCCAGATGGGATCTATCCCAGGTTACTGAGGGAAGCGAGAGAGGAAATAGCTGGGGCCTTAACAGATACCTTTGCAGCATCCTTGAGCACGGGTGAGGTCCCGGAGGACTGGAGAATTGCTAATGTTGTCCCCTTGTTTAAGAAGGGTAGAAAGGATAATCCAGGTAATTATAGACCTGTGAGCCTGACGTCAATGGTGGGGAAGCTGCTGGAGAAGATACTGAGGGATAGGATCTATTTACATTTGGAAGAAAATGGGCTTATTAGTGATAGGCAGCATGGTTTTGTGCAGGGAAAGTCATGTCTGACCATCTTGATAGAATTCTTTGAGGAAGTGACAAAGTTGATAGATGAGGGAAGGGCTATAGATGTCATATACATGGACTTCAGTGAGGCATTTGATAAGGTTCCCTATGGTAGGCTGATGGAGAAAGTGAAGTTGCATGAGGTCCAGGGTGTACTAGCTAGATGGATAGAGAACTGGCTGGGCAACAGGAGACAGGGGGTTGTTGTGGAAGGGAGTTTCTTAAAATGGAGAACTGTGACCAGTGGTGATCCACAGGGATCTGTGTTGGGACCACTGTTGTTTGTGATATACATAAATGATCTGGAGGAAGGTATAGATGGTCTGATTAGCAAGTTTGCAGATGATACTAAGATTGGTGGAGTAGCAGACAGTGAAGGGGACTGTTGGAGAATGCAGCAGAATATAGATAGTTTGGACAGTTGGGCAGAGAAATGGCAGATGGAGTTCAATCCAGGCAAATGCGAGGTGATGCATTTTGGAAGATCCAACTTAAGAGCGAGCTATACGGTAAATGGACAAGCCCTGGGGAAAATTGATGCACAGAGAGATCTGGGTGTTCAGGTCCATTGTACCCTGAAGGTGGCAACGCAGGTCGATAGAGTGGTCAAGAAGGCATATGGCATGCTTTCATTCATCGGACGGGGTATTGAGTACAAGAGTTGGGAGGTCA